AGCTAAATTGGCTGTTTTGCTTTCGAGACACGTAATAGTATCTTTAATTGGCTTTAAAACTGTAGAAACATCTAAAACATTATCAAAAAATCTGCGAGTCTTCAAATATGTTTTGATAATTTTGCCTGTTTTGTTATTAAACAAATGCGAATTTTGATCTAAAATCTTTAAATATATTTATTAATAATTATTTATACATAACAATATATTAAATAATTAATTTAAAATATAAATACTGTATACTTACTTCTTCTAAACTTGTTTTATGACGATATACTGAATATAAGCATTCGTATGCACTAGTCCAACGAGTTTTTGTATAATTTTTTAATCCACCGCCATATACATTTTTATTTATTATCAAAAAATGTAATTGATGTGATGAATTAAAAAAATTTACAATTGTGGAACATTGATAAAGAATCTTTTTTGCGAAATTGTGTTTTAAAATATCACTAGAAATTAAATTCATACAATGCACAACACATCGTAAGTTTAAAATATGTGGGTACTGATCAGTAATTAATTGTCGTGCAAGTGCACAGTTAGAGCCCCCATCAGTAACTATTGCTCCAAATTTATCTATTCCAAGTTCATCAAAAATTTGTTGAATACAATTTCGTAAAGTTTCACCAGTATGACTTTGGTTAGATAAATCAAGTATTTTCCAAAGATATTCTCGTCCACTAGAAGTATGAATTACAAAATTCCACAACGATTTTTTATTCGGATCTGTCCATCCATCTAAGCCTATATTAAAAATTTATATAGTTAATTAATATATATTAACAATTCTATTAACTTAAATATCTTATTTTATAAACATACCAAGAGTTAAATTATTAGCTTTTTCTAAAACAGCCATAATACTTTGATTAATTTTGATTATTTCTGCATTTAATAATCGTCCAGCAAATAGTTGTCTTGATGGAGGTTGATAACCAGGTCGTAATTCTCGAAGTGCATCAATAAAATATGGATTGCTGATAATATGAAAAGGTATATTACATACTATAAATGCTTTTATTAAAGCTGAATTAATATTATCTTCACGTTGTGAAGTTAATTTAGTACTTTCTATAAATTCAGATAATGATGTTTGACTATTTGTAAGTGTACGTTTTCTTTTGTTCAAATTAGAACCAGGTAGAGTTTCTTGAGATACTGCTTGGCTATGACTTTGTCGATTAGCAACAACTTGAGCATAAAAATCTATAACATCTCTATCTTGATTCGAACAATCTAAAGCTAAATGTTCTTCTAAATCTACAGGTTTTGCACGTGCCCAAAAAGATCCACATACTTTGCACTTTCCTGAACAGTGACCTTTTACAGAAACACCTCTGTCAAAAAAATGCCAAACACCTGCAGGTGGTCGTCCAGCCAATTTTTTTGAAGTAGATTCTTGAGAATTTTCATTTAAAGAATTCTTGCTTTGGGAGTTTCTACTTTGAAAATTTCTACTTTGAGAATTTTCACTTTGAAAATTTTCTTGATAATTTTCATTTTCTTCAAAATTAGATTCGTTCATTTTTTTATTTAATAATATAAAAAAAGAAAATGTTTTCTAAAATTCTTTTAAAAAAATTCAAATAAATGCAGAGCGAAGAATTTATAAGAATTTAAAATATTAAATCCATTAATTGAGCGTAAGTAAAATAAACTAAGATTATTTAATATCAAACCCGCATTAATAATTTTAATGAAACATTTATTCATTTACACAATATTATTAAAAGAGAAGCAGCCACATAAATTTGAAATGTTAAATTCATTAAATGAGTGTAAGTAAAATAAACTAAGATTATTTAATATCAAACCTGTATTAATACTGTAATTTTAATGAAACAATTATCATATGCACAATATTACTATTATTAAAAAAAGAAACAGCCATACAAATTTAAAATGTTAAATTCATTAAATGAGCGTAAGTGTCAAAGAGTGAAACAATTACCATAGTGACTGTAATCTGATTCAGATGGCTTTTATGTAATTTAAGTCTCGCTTGGCACTTGAGTCACACAACACACACACACCGAACCTCGAGTAGTGTAAGTATTTACTTTAGAACAACACTTATATTGTTCTTTTAGTCAAAGAGACTGAAGAATTTCTTTATTTACGATTTGTTATTTATGCGATTCAATCAATTACATAATTTGTATTACACTTTAACTATTTCTTTATTTTAATTAATTAAACTTTTAATTGTTCCCCAACTAATCGTCATATTCATGCATTCGACGATCACGGTACCTATTGTACCCGATCTTGATTATGCCCCGATTTCATAATTCCCTTCACGACTCCGATCGATCACATGATCACGTGAGTCGTTTAATCATTCTTTCGTTTTACCTTTTTATTCTCTATTCCACTATACATTTCATCTTCTATTTGTATACCTTTTACTAGGTATAAAGGCTCTTCGTATACTACGCGACAGTAAGTAAAACAAACTAAGATTATTTAATATCAAACCTGTATTGAAACAATTATCTATCCGTGTGTGTATTATTAAAAAAAGAAACTGCTACACAACTTGACTATCTTCAATGCTATTACAAGCAACGCCATTATAAGTAAGTTTCAATAGTATAAAATTATTACAGCCAATAAAAAAATATAAGCATAAAAAGAGTAAAGACTATATATAATGATAATTGTACTAGTATATACCTGGCAAAAAATTAAATACCAAAATGCGCTAGAAGAATAATATATTAGTATAAGAGCTTCTAGTGCTAGAAAGATTCTAGTACGTACAAAATTCTTACACATGTTCTATTATTTCTTCTAGTTTGCTTTGGTAGATGAAAAATAACTCATTAGTGATTGCTATTTCACGGGATGTCTTTGTTATTCTGGCCTATTTAGTTAATTAGATAATTTTTTTATTATATATATCCCAAATAATGCAAATTTATATCATAACATAAATACTTTTTAATCAATATACAGTATAATAAAGTGTTGGCACGATTTTTAGTAAAACTTGAATACCTTCTGAAAAAATCAGTGCAACCAAAGAATAAATCGATGTTAGCAAATTGATGAAAAAAAATGCATAAATCAATAAATAATTTTTATACACACCCGTCGATTAATTAAACAATAATGGCAAGTCGTATTATATTCATATTTATAACGATTCTTTCATACTAAGCCACAAAACATATCGATATAGATCTTTTCATTAATCGTTATTATTAGTGTTTAACTAATTATAAATAAGCGATTTTTATTAAAAAAAAAACTTGTTATAACGATCGATCAATAAAGAGAATTGATTGTCAAACCCAATTATCTATAAAACCTGAATAATCAAGTTTGAAAGATATAGTTACAAACTTGAATTTAATTACGATAAAACCTTCTTCATAAGGCTAATACAAAACAGGAATGAGGTGATACAGTATGTAAATTTCACCAAGTATATAGTTATACGGCATTTTAAGAGTCTACAAAATCTTGACTAAATAACATTAATTAAAGCAAAAAATGCGAATGCATTTATTTTTTAACTCAAGCATAAAATTTTTACCATATTTAACTTTTATCCTCATTACACTAATGGTACCCTTCACACCCCCACACCTTTACTCAACACACTCTTCTATCGCACTGCTTCTCACAAGTTCGATATTTTATTATTTTGTAGAAAAGAAAAATGTATGTGATGAAACAATTTGTTGTATCTATATTTAGATATATAGTTATAGCGACAGTAATATATATTTTGTCAAGCATTTAGACATTTACACTGGTAAAATTTAAAAACTCGCCATGTTGAATGGCATGATTCGAATGCCACTCAGCCTACCATTCGAACTTCCATTCAACACAATCACATGACTTCGCGGACATGCATGTCCGCGAAGTCATATGATTGTATTGAATAGAAGTTCGAATGGTAGGCTGAGTGGCATTCGAATCATGCCATTCAATGGCGAATTTTTAAATTTTACCAGTATCAATTTTTTTTATTGCAATTAAGTTCTTTTTTTTTTATATGGGAGAACTACCCCACAGTGAAAAATAAGCGTAATAATCTTCATTTTGAATGTCATGACGGAGGATCATATAAATTGTTAACGATTTCTTTTTTTGATCTATAAATTCTACAATATTGATAACAGGTATGTTTTAAAATAAGTAGCTGCGCGACATTGTCGCGCTAAACCAGGAACGGATGAATATAGGCTTAATTTAGAAAATGTTGGACAACTACAGTATAGAGTAGTTATATAATGTTTTGAATTCATATAAAATAAATATCGTGTATACAACTAAATTATATTGATATGAGACACTATAATTTAAACAAACAAGAAATTTACAAGATTTTAGATGTATATAGTTTAGAGTGTAAAATACCTCTTTAAAAAACGTAACATACCAATCCACTATAATTTTTTAATGCTAACCCTAATAATACATATCGCCGGAATACATATTAAATATAGGGGTATTTCACACCCTATACCATACAGATCTGGTCATACTAATCTGTAAATTAGAAATGTTCTTGGCAGATGATAATTAATTATACAGACTAATGTGGATAAGAAGCTAAATGAGAGTTAAACAGCCCATATTAAATACTTAGATCAATTAAAAAATAAATAATGAAGATTAATGGTGCTCTCAATGTGATTAGCTAGCTACTGAGATCGTGCATATGTACTACGATTAATTAAAGTAATCCTTATTGTAATTTTGCTAATTAGCCAAACAGAATAAGTCTATGACAAAAAAGGTCGGTTAAGCCTTTTTTTTTATCGAGATAATGAACCTAATTACTGGTTAAACTACTTTCCACAAATTAGAAATTGAGCTTTGATCTATTGTGCTTGAGAGAATTTTAAATCAATACAAAATTAATTAATATATTGATTGATAATGTTCAATTGATTAAATAAAAAAATATCGTGAAAAGTTGACATTATATGACGAAGAGTTTTGTAGACCAATTTCATCCTATTAACGATTTTTAGTGATGTTAATGTTTGTAAGGCTTCTTTAAATACTATATTGACTTAAAATCATTATTACTGTAGCTACGTAATAATACTACAGTACTATATCGGTACAGTAATGGCTCAAGTCATGCTCTAGCCATGACACAAGTCTTGACTTCAATAACTATGGCCTAATCCATAATATGGTGCTATGAATTTAAAAAGCCTATTCAGCTGCAGCTAAAACCGGCTTCGGAATAAGCCGTTAATGGCTCTGAAGACTATCCGAAGGCAGTTGACAGTAAATCCATATTTGGTTAGTTCAATTCCGAAGGACAATAATAAAAAAAAAGCATTGAGACAAAAACCTGTTAAAGCAATAAAAAATACAAGTTCGTTATGTTTAAACAAATCTTATATATAAAAATATAAGTGCAGAATTTCACGTTTCCTTGCATATAACGCATTGTCCAATCAGTTACAAGATTTTGCGGATGCACATTACTAAAAATGCAATAGTAAACCATATACTTCGTAATATTACATATCACGGTATACCGTATAAGCGCGAAAAAATTTGCCATGTTGAATGGCATGATTTGAATGCCACTCGACCTAACATTTGAACTTCCATTCAACACAATCACATGGTTTCACGGACATGCATGTCCGCGAAGTCATATGATTGTATTGAATAGAAGTTCGAATGTTAGGTTGAGTGGCATTCAAATCATGCCATTCAACATGGCGAATTTTTTAAATTTTACTAGTGTTAGTCATAAATATTTACTTTGTTAAGCATTTAGACATTTAGTCATAAAATAGTTATTTTGTCAAGCATTTAGACATTTAGTCATAAATTAGTTATTTTGTCAAGCATTTAGACATTTAGTCGTATAATATCTATTTCGGCAAACATTTAGACATTTAGGCAAATTTAGAATTTTGACATTTTGACAAAAAATAATGCCATGTCGAAATATATTTAGACACTTAATTGTCTAAATATTTGACTAAATAGAGTATTTCGACTAACAACACTA